ATTTCTAGCCATTATATTTTGCTTATACGTTTTATCAAAGAACCTTTGCAAGTAAAAAATTCTAATAATAAGAACGTATGAAAAATATTCAAATGGACTAGAAAATAAAGAAAAAACCTTTTTGTGCGAGAGTCTTCTACGAGTATGGATTTCAACTCTCAATGAAAGCACCAATTTGTGGATGCAAATTTCTTCCTCCTCGATCTTGGACGATTTTGCACCTACAAAACAATTAACACCTTAGGTTAAGGCCAAGAGCCTCACGCGCTCACGATGAATGGGGGGAGCTTTGGCCGAAGAACCTCCAATGCCAAAGTTAGAATTTAGAGAGAAAGAGTGTTTAGAGAATTTTGGGATTTTTGCCAAAGTGTTGGGATTGATTCTTTGATGAGAATAGGTGCCTATTTATAGAGTTAGGAGGTGGCTAGGGTTTTTAGGTTTTAATTTAGGTTTAATTAGCCAATTTATTTGGCTATTTAAACATAAAATGAATGTTTTGGTGGTTTTTGGAATTAATTGGCTAGTTAATTAGGGTAATTAAAAAGGGAAAATGGTGGAAAAGGTAGAGAATATGATAGGCTCTTTTTGGATGGGAATGGCCGGACCTTGGTGTGATTTTGGGGTGATTTGGTGATATAAATAGCCTTTAATATATTGATTATATTAATTGGTTGAGGATGTTATGGAATGTTTGAAATAAATGGCTAATTGAATAAGGAAAAAATGAGGTAAAAACATATATGAAATAGGTTTTGAATTGTTACCCATTTTGGGTACTCCTGACTTGGTTGATGGATGATTCTCCACTGCTCGCGTGTAGGAGACCCGGTATGCCTCGAGGGTATTTTTGTCCTATTTTGTCCAAAAATCCACATGTCGCCTAGTGAATATTTTTGGCTCCACATACAACAAGATAATTTAGGGTTAGTTTGATAATCTTTTTTTGTTTTTTGGCTATAGTTTAGATTTTTTATGCTGGAGATATTGACAAAATATGGGAGAAATGAGGAATTGAAAAGGATGAAGAGAGGAGGTTGGAGGGAGAAATGAAGAAGATTACATATATAAAAACAAAATCTTGAAAGTAAAAACAACTTAAAATTGTCTAATAACAAAATCTTGAATTTAAAAACAACTTAAATTGTCTTTTAATATTTGATCTTGATAAGAGTATAAGATGAATGGTTATTATTACCATGTGTCAATAGATTAGTGGGTTTCTTATAAGGTAGTTAAGGTTGTTGAGAGTGTTGTGACTTGTGGTGTAAGCTTTGTTAGTTAGTAGGATATCTAACAGTAGGATATCTAACAGTAGGATATCTAACATATTGTATGGATTGTAATACACTAAGGAAAAATATAAGAACTTTCTTCTCTCTCTCTCTCTAATAGTTGTTCTTCATGCTACCTATAATGTTACTTTACATGGTATCATTCGCCTGCCAAGCAACTATTGCTTGAAGGTTGATTCAATCTTGGTTACTTTAGCTTCCGCCCCTCAAGATAGTCTGATTTTCGGAGCTCTAAAAGCTTTCTGAGATTTCTTTTTCTCGGTTGTGCACTCCAAGTGTTCAATCTTATTTCTCATCAAGATTCTTCAAGAAAAGACTATAATGGTGACTGTTAATCAGTTGCAGATCCTGCAATCTTCAATCACATCTCTTATCTCTACAGTTTCTACTTCTGTCATAGTAAAGCTGGATGATTTTGATTACCTTACTTGGAATTTCTAGATGCAGCTATTACTCGAAGGACATGGAATCATGGGGTTCTTGGATGGTTCTAATTCATGTCTTGAGAGAATCACTACCATCTGTTCATGGGATTCTAAAGTCAATTATCACCTCTTCATCAAGAATTGAAACTGATGCATTCAAAGTCAAATGCATGATAAGGATTTGATGCAACTCATTGCTACCACTCTTTCTCTAGCAGCTATGTCATGTGCTATTGGAAGCACAAGTGCTCAGGAATTATGGGTTCGTCTCAAAGAACAGTATTCCATTGTCACTCAAGCAACAATATTCCAAATGAAACCTAAGCTACAAAATATAAAGAAGGGCACTGATTCGATATCTCAGTATCTACAAAGGATTAAGGAGGCGCGAGACTATTTGACAGGTGTAGGAATTCACTTTGAAGATGATGATATGGCCATCTTAACTCTTAATGGTTTACCAGTGGAGTACAACACTATGAGTAGGGACAGTGTTATCTCCATCAACGATTTAAGATCTCAATTGCTTGCTGAAGAAGCAATGGTGGAAAATACTGCAGTAACTCTATTTCTATCTACAATGGTTGCTAAGAACATTGAGTCTAGCTCCAAGACCTCAAATTTTCCACAAGATTTTTCTGGTAATCAAAACCAAGGGTATTCTGGCAATCAAAATCAAGGGCATTCAGGTAACCAAGGGTATTCCAGCAATCAGGGATATTCTAGCAATCAAGGGTATTGTGGCAATCAAAGGTTCTCTAGTGGGAGGGGTGAATCAAGCTACATATTTCAAGAACAACTACAATAAGAACAAAGGCAGAGGTAAATTCAACTATAATTCTAATTTTTGATATGGAAACTCAAGAAACAATTACAACAATTCCTCTCCTAGCATTCTTGGTACATCTCCATCAAATTCACCTTGTCAGCTATATGGCAAGTATGGACACTTGGTTGATACATGCAGATTCAGAAATAATGATAGTGTAGTGGTTGAAGGATGTCAAATATATGGAAAGAAGAATCACACTGCTCAATTTTTACATTTCAGAAATGAAAATATCTCTTGGAATTCACCTCAGATGACTGTAATGCATGCTTTTTCTTCACCATTTGGTTCAACATCTGATGCTTCATCTTAACAAGTCTGACTTATAGATTCAGGAGCAACAAATCACTTAACAGCTGACTTGCAAAACCTATCATTGGATGCTCCATTCCCATCTACAGAGACAATACAAACTGCAAATGGTGCAAGTTTACCAATATCACATATTGGATCATCTATCATTCATCCTCTTATGCAATCTCTAAAACTTAATTCAGTTTTATATGTACCACAAATTACTCAGAACTTACTTTCAGTACATAGGATTTGCTTGGATAATAATTGTTGGCTAATCTTTGATGCATTTAACTTCTGGATTTGGGACAAAACCACATGGAGGATTCTATATAAGGGATAATGCAATAATGAGTTGTATCCAATTCCAACTTCAAGATCTACTGTAGTTCATCATCAAGCATTCAAAGCTGCTTTTCTTGGACAATAAGTAAATACAAGTTTCTGGCATAGCCGGCTAGGTCACCCTCAAATTCAACTGTCTCCACTATACTTAGAAAATCTCATATTTCAGTACCTTCTAATGTATCACCTTCAATCTATCATTCATGTTTACAGGGAAAATTTAGCAAATTACCCTTTACTTCATCTGTATCTAAATCTGTAGTCTCATTTGAAGTAGTTCATAGTTATGTGTTCATTAGATGTATCAGTTCATTTTTAATCACTTTGCAGTTTCTATTAAAACTTTACAACGTGATGAGTGTGAGTAAAAAATTTTCAATCCTTTCTATTGAACAAGGGAATCACTCATTAAATATTATGTCGTCATACTCCAGAGCAGAATGGGTTGGCAGAAAGAAAACACAGACTCATTGTTGAAACCTCTACCACATTGTTACAAACAGCTTCTTTACCATCCAATTTTTTGTCTTTTGCCTATCAAACTGCAATATACATTATAAATAGGATGCCATCTCCAACTTTAAACAATCAATCACCATTTGAAGCTTTATTTCATTCAATTCCAGAAACACAACATCTCAGGATATTTGGTTGTTTATGCTTTTCATTACTGAAACCTTATAACAGTACAAAACTGCAACCAAAAACAACAAAGTGTCTTTTTATGGGGTATGCATCTAAGTATAAGGGATACATATGTTTTGAAGTTAGTTCAAAGAGGGTTTATATTTCCAGACATGTAATATTTGATGAGTGTGAATTTTCACCATTTCAGCCCATTTTCTACGCGGAGCATGAGATGAGAGAAAAAAAAAAAAGCCTCCATAGCTGAAACAGTACTCGAAGATGAACCTGTCCAAAATAAAGAATCATCCATGTGCATAATTGGCAATGGAGTCTTCATAATCTTCTCCAAAAGATAAGGAAAAGAATAAGTAAAGACAATGGGAAGAGACCATTTTGCATCCTGAATAAAATCTTTTACCTTAGAATTCAAAGGAATTATGTCAACCTCACCAATATTAGAGAGCAAAGGGGTTCCAAGCTAGTTATCATACAAAAAAGAAATCTTACGGCCATCAGCAACACTTCATTGAAAGGAAGTATAGAAGGAGGGCCATAATTGTTTAAGCCCCAACCAAACGGAAGACTTTTTATAAGACTTTAGCAAATGAAAGTTGTCTTTAAGAAATCTGTTACGTAACCGATCCAAAGCCGGTGAGGAAGAAGAAATTACATCCCAGCATCTTTTAAGAATAAGAGAACAGTTGGATTCAAAAAGATCTTGGATGCCCAAACCATCCTCTTCCTTCAACTTACAACAAGAACTCCAAGCTATTAGAGGCATACCTTGTTTTAACGGATCACCAACCAAAAGAAATTTCTAATCCACCCTTGAACCTCACGTAGCAAATTAGTAGGCCAAGCATAAATTTAAAAACTATAAACCAAGATTCCCTAAATTACTGAATTAATAAGTTAGAGTTTCCCTGCTTGCGAAAGCAAAGCCGTCAACTTGCAATGAATCTTATCAACAATGGCTTGAAAATAGATCATTTTCGGACGACCCTAAAAGATAGGGACACCTAGATAAGTAAAAGGCAGATTTCCCTGGCTTACACGAAGAACCTTTTGAATAATAGCATGCCGACTGCTTGCATATTTCCCAAGAAAAACTAAAAAATTTAATTTATTTATGCATTGCCCAGAATCTAAGATGTACTTCTCTACAAAACGCATTAGGTTACACATAGATCACTTAGTTCCATGCATGAAAACCATAATATCATCTGCAAAAAGAACATGAGATGGTGGAGCAATACCCATTGGAACTGAAAAAGTGTCAATTAGATCATCTTCCACCATTTTTGTTAAACCCTTGCTAAAAACCTCCTTAGCTAGACAAAAGAGAATAGGAGACAAGGGATCCCCTTGACGAACACCATAAGAACATGTGAAAAAACCTTCAATTGAACCATTAATAAGGACAAAAGGATGAGCTGAAGTTAAAATAGAACGAATCCAATCCACAAAACCTGCTGAAAAGCCAAAAGCATCCAAAACCCGGAGAAGAAAACCCCAATCCAAAGTGTCAAACGCCTTTCGTGTATCAAACTTGATTGCTATATTTCCACCCTTACAACATCTATCAAGGAGGTTCATACATTCAGAAGTGAGAATGATGGGATCCACAATAGATTGTCCTTTTGTAAAAGCATTATGTTGAAGGGAGACAATATGAGCAGCAATAGGGCTTAAACAATCTGCTAAAATCTTAGTGATAATGTAAATGAAAATTTGCAATAAGACAAAGATGATTCACTGAATTCGCTTCATCTACCTTTGGAATTAAAATCATTAAGTTAGAATTAAAGTGAGGCAAAATATTCCCTTGGGAGAAAAAACTTTCCATTGCTTGAACCATGTCATTACCCATAATGGACCAACATCTAAAATAGAAAGACTCGCCAAAACCATCTGGACCCGGGGAACTAGAATGGTCCATAGACTTTAAAGTTTCAAAAATTTCATCATGAGTTGGAATTGCTAACAACGACTCATTTTCTGTTGCAGTGACTACATTGGGAATAGTACAAGCAACCAAACCAATGTTTGTTATTGAACTATCTGTAGAAAAAAGATCTTGAAAATAGGTAACAACATGCTGACTAATATCCATCTGATTATCAAGAACCTTATTGCCATCTCTCATAACTGCCAGTGACTGATGAAGTTTCCTGATTTTAACCATGGAATGGAAAAAAGAGTTATTATTATCCCCTTCAGAAAGCCATTTAATGTGAGACTTGTCATGGTAAAAATTTTCCTGCGCAATAAGAGCCTTTTGCACGCACAAAAAAGCATTATCCTCATTTGTAAACCTTTCTTCTAAAGGACCCAAGCTGGAAATTTCCTTTTGAATTTCATCCAAAGCATCAAAAGCTCTATCAATTTTCATATTAACATCCCCGAAAACCAACTTGTTCCAAACTTTTATGTGAGACTTAAGCGCATGAAGCTTGGCACCAAACACATACATTGGACAACCATAAAAATTAGAAGACTTCCAAACATCCTCAACTAAGGAAAAAAAATCATGATGATCCAACCACATACTATGAAACCAAAATAGAGCCTTCAGAGTGATTGTTAACTTTGAGAAAGAAACAAGAAGAAGACAGTGATCAGAAGAGTACGGGATAAAGTGGAACATTCCAACAAAGACCACGCATCAATCCACTAAAAGTTACCTAGGCAACGGTCCAATCTCATTTCCACTTGATTTTTTATTCCTCTTCTATTTGTCCAAGTGCATGGCAATCCTTTTGTAGGTAAATGAAGCAAATCACAAGCTGAAGACATCTCTTGAAAATCAGAACAAGAAGTAGTCTTGGGTAGAAACCCACCCTTTTTTTCATGAGCGCCTAAAACACAATTAAAATCCCCTAGAACTAGCCATGGACCATTAACAAAAGAGGAATTGATAAATCGCATGTCTTGCCACAACTGACGCCTTTCAATAATTGTCATTTTTGGATAAACCCAAGTGATAAAACAACTGACAGAATCCAAGGTACAAGAAATAGTGATTTGTTGAGCGGTTGCCAATAAAATAGAAGGTTGGATGGCTTGATCACAAAGCAACCAAATATTTGGCTGTAGGTCACCCTTGTCGTTGACCGCAACTAGAAACAAGCATAAAGATCGCCAAAAAGACAATTTAATAGAATTTAATTGAATAAAAGGTTCAGAAATACTGATTAAATATGGACGATGACATTGAACCATTCTTCTTAGAACCCGTTTCGTGGGAGCATTCCCCATTCCTCGGGCATTCAAAAAAAGAATCTTCATAAATCAAGTCGTTATATGGGGACCCTAGAGCGGGTTGGATATGGTTCCCTGACTTCTTTAGAAATATTCCCATCTCTAATCTTTTTCCTCATCTTTGCTTTTTTGGGATTTTGAAAGAACTAAAGTCATTCCGTCTTCATTAACAATATCACAAATTTTAGCACTTTCTTGAAGATCGGAAGAATTAAGAGAGGAATGCTGGCACACAAACATTAGTGCCCAAATCGCCATAATTAACTTCAAAACGTTGAGAATGAGGGGTGATAGACTCGTCAGACTCCGAGTCATCCCCAACTACATTTTTTCGTTGCTCATTCTGCAATGCTTTTCTAGTTAGCTTACTAATTAAAGCACCTGCAGTTAGCTTAGTCACTTCCATTGGCTCATTCACCACTAAATTGATGATCTCATTGACCGCTGATTCAATTATTTCATTTGTTATACCTGCGAGTTGATTGTCCGGTTGTTGAACAAAATAAGAGTTCAACTCCATTGGAAATGATGAATGGATTACCTCTTCAATAGGTTGCATCTTATCAACAACTATCAGATCAACACATTCATTTCTTTTTGGGTCTTGAATAACCTGATACTCTGTTTTGTTATTTACCTTTCGCCCTGCCGCTAGAGAAGGTTAGGAATCCATTGTCACATTTTTTTTCTTGAGGTGACGACAACAATCAACGGTATGTCCCAAGATTCCACAATGATTATATTTGTTAGGCGATTTTTCATAAACTATATCAATGGGAAAACTATGACCCTTATGCTCCACCATGATGGAGGAAATGAGGTCAACAGCTAGGTCCACATCAACCAAAGCATGAGCATAATATCCAAACTGGCGCTCCTTCGTGGCTTTATCAAGTTGCAAAGTACCCACTCCCTTTGCAATTTCAAGAAGGTGGTGTGGATGCCAATAATCCCGGCTAAGCCCATATATTCGAATCCAAACTTGAGCATGTGTAGGAGGTGCAATGTCATTTGGATTAGGCCAAATTGGATAAATGATTCCTGTGGTCATAAGGTATTCAGAAGATAGCCATGTGCTAAAAAAAACTCGAATTTAAACCCCTGTGGTGTACTTCGTTAGCAAATTTAGTCCAAAAGTGATTTTTTTTTTTCATTAACTATATGTTAATGCATGGGTAAAATTGTAGTTTGACATGTGCACCTTCTTCTTCCTGTATCTCCCCTACGTAACCCCCAAACTCACTTTGTGCAAGAGAAAAAGGAGATACCATTTTTCATTTTCCACGGAGCTACCATCGTAACCATGGCGACCACCGTGTCTCCATGGGCCAAACCTGACACCTGGGCCCTTGTCGCTGAGGAGCAGGGAGCCAAACTCGAACAGCAAGCCAAAGAGTTTGGGGGGAAAAAGCCAAACTCGAATTTAAACCCTCTATTGTCTTCTCTCGACCTTTTTGTCTCTCTCTCTACTTTGCTCTAGTTAGCCATGGCCGTCGCCACCTTGCTCCGCTTGCTACGACGCCGTGATGTTGCATTGGCTCCTCTCTGGCTTTACCGATCCGTACGTCTCTTTACTTTTTCTGAGATTCCTTTTTAAGTTCACAACCTGTCACTCTCGTCGCTCGATCATATCTCTGTTTAATCTATTTTTTTGCTGAAAGTTATGAGATTTTAAATTTGTTGTAGAATTTCTTGATTTTATGTAGTATTTGTTTGTTGTGATCCGATAGAATTGAACAAGTAAAAGATTTATAATTCAATATTTGAATTTTTTTTGGGGCTTCTGATGTGTTATTTTGTCAGTTCGATTGTATTGAAACTGATTTGTATAAGATCTCAAGGGATGGGTTATATGTATGGGTTGTTAACCTCACTTTAGCTAAGTCATAGGCTAAAGTGATGGTCTTAACCCTACTTTCATCACTTCAGATAACTTTTCATTCACCTTACCTCATTCTTGTCAACCTTTCTTAGTTGTTTGTAGAAACTTCTTTCATTGTAATTAGTTTTTGGCTTTTCCACTTGTTAAGGCAGATTTTAGGGATTGTGTTGGAGTAGTTAGCTTACTTTTTCTTGTAGCTTATTTTTCGGCTCTCTGTATGAGTTGTCTTCTTTCCCTTGTAATCTTTACAATGAAATATACAACAAATATTTAAAACCAAAACTCAACATGGTATTAGAGCAAGAACCATAAGGTCCTGACTCTGTTCATTTTTTTACTTCTTCGTTTGCTTATCCTCGATAGAGATGGTAGAAGAACATGCATCTAGTGCTGATGGTGCCTTATCCTCATCCCTCAACTTAACTTAAGTGGGTGAGAACAACCCAAATCAACATCTCTGCTCGATGCTACTGAATGAGTTCAACTACCTTCCTTGGTCAGGAGTTGTGTCACTTGCTCTAGGAGGAAGATCAAAGCTAGGGTTTTATCAATTGAAGCTCTGAGTCCCCAGAATCCACTTCACCAAACTATGATGCATGGCATGCCACTGATCAACTGGTTATGTCCTGGATACTTAACTCCATGGAGCCAAAATTGTCTGAGTTTTTCAGCTACTCAGAGTCTTCCCTTCTTCTATGAGAATCCGTTAAAGACATGTATGACAACCAAAACAACTTAGTTCTCATTTTTCAACTAAAGAAGAGTTTTGCTAGTTTAAAGTAAGGTGATCTATCCTTTGTTTAATACCTTGGAAGTATGAAATCCATGTGGAATGAACTCAATATGTACCATCCACACACGACTAATTCCATTGTGCTACTGAAGAGGGCTGATGAAGACAAGGTGTTTCAACTCTTGGCAAGCTTGGGAGTTGAATATGAAGACCTACGTAGTCATTTGTTAATGACTCCAGAGCTTCCCTCATTTACCAGTGTGTGTCATGTAGTCTAGAGAAAGGAAACTCGATGAAGAGTGATGAACGTTAAGCCCAAATCTAACTATGAGGCTAGGGTTTTCGTGACAAATCACAAAGCAACTGGTGTTAGGGTGCTTGGGAAGAAAGCAGACTAGAAATTTTCTTATTGCAACATGAATGGACATTTGAGAGAAAAATGTTGAATTCTTCATCCGGAGTTAAAACCTAAGTTTGACAGGGAAGGCAGGATGATCAAAGATGGGAAGAGATGAGTCACTCCAAAAGCATTTCACTCAACTTGTTCCTCAGCTGATGGGATGGCCAATTTCTCAACAAATGCTATGTCCTTGATCAACGAGTTTGCTGTTTTTCTTCAAAAGACGCAAGGAAGCATTGAGCATGGTGAAATGATGACTGAAAACCCTACTGCAATGCTAGGGAAATTTGCTGGATTCTTGGCTAACTCAGAGAACACATCGAAAGGCAATATTCCAGGTATTATCAATGTCATTTCCAATGCTCTTAATGTAAATGTTACAAGTGATTTTTGGATTATTGACTCAGGTGCCTCTGATCATATAACTAATAAACCCTTGAGTCTCTATGAATTTCAGAAAACTATTGATCTAATCTATGTGTCTGTTGCAAATGGGAAAAGGGAACCTATTTTATCGAAAGGAAAGTTAGATTGCTGAGTGAGCATACTGATTCCATTGCTCTCTATGTTCATTCTTTTCCTATTTAACTCTTGTCAGTAGGAAAAATCACAAAAACTTTAGATTGTCTTGCCATATTTTCCCCTCATAATGTTGTGTTTTAGGACCAAGTTACTCAGAAGAAGATTGGTGAAGGTTTTTTCTTAAATGAACTCTAATATCTCTTAAAGGAGTCCAATTTTTTCAAAAAGCTCAGTGTCAACTTAAGTCAAGTTCAAGAATACCAACTCTGGCACCAACGCCTTGCCCATCCCTTAGAACCTGTGATGACCAAGTTGTTTCCCTTTTTTTGTAAAAACACACTTGAGTGTGAAACTTGTCAAATGTTAAAAGCCACTAGACTCTCTTTTGTTTCCTTTAATTCTAGCACCAGTAGACTTTTTGAGCTTGTTCACTCAGATATCTGGGTCCTTCTCGTGTAGAATCCTTTTATGAGGTATAGATATTATGTTCCTTTTGTTGATAACTATTCTAGAGTCACCTGGTTGTACCTTTTAAACTCAAAAATGATATGTTTGATGCTTTTAAGGACTTTCACAATCTAATCACCAATCAATTTTCGTCTATGTTATATATGTTAAGATCAGATAATAACACCGAGTACACTTCTAATAACATAAGTAATTACTTGAGCAATC